TAGAGACAACTGTAACCCGGAGAACAACAGCTCACATAATGGCCTTACGAGGCTATCACCCACTGAGAAATGATGCCCTATAATAGACATATAAGGACATCAAAGGGCGGAATGATAAGGAAGACCCCCATCTATTACCTGGCACATCAGCCACCTGAGACCCCACCCCTCTGAAGACCGTCATCAACATAATACTAACTTATTACCTGGTGCATCAACATAATACTAAACCTATTGCCTGCCACATCAACATAATACTAACCTATTACCTGGTGCATTAGCCGCCTGAGACCCCACCCCTCAGACCACCCCAACCTAATAAAAGTGGGAAAAATCGGGTAGACGGGGCTTGGAATTTGGTGGCTAGACCCCTCTGAGCCCACCAGTGAATAACCTTGATTCTCTGACTCTCTGTGTGTCACTAGGTTTGTCCTCAGAACCACTGCTGTAACACTTGCTATAACAAAATAATTGTACAACTCATCATAGGTTTGGGACTCCTGATTTAAAGTTTTTAGGAGCCATACAGTTAATACAGACCTTTAAGTGCCCCCAAAAAAAAAAAAAAAATCAAAGGGTCCCAGTATTTCTTCTCCTACTCCTCCATTATCTTCATTTCCTTGTCTAGGTCCTAACCCTAAATCTGGTTCTCTCCAAAATATTTCTTGGGAAAAACTCAGATGGCATTTCCACTATGAAGCATAATGTTTTAGTCATTATAGCTAGTGTTAAAAAGAAATTTTTTTACAAAATTAATATTTTAGTTATGAGTTAGGTATAAGCTCAGTTTTCCCCCAACATATTCATAGCAGATGGTCTTGTATCTTTTAATTGAACTCAGTATGAAGTTAGGAGAGACAGAATTAAAAAATATAAATAAATTACACATTAGAATATCAAATGACAATGTACTGAATGCTGTAAAGTATGATTTCAACTCATCTGTAAAAAATAATCTTCTTCGAACATGGTGAATACCTCTTGCTTAATCTTGGGCAGATTGTTTTAATATTTCTAACATAGTACTTCTCAACTATTCTTCATTCTTGGTAGATTTGAATTTTTTATACTATTATGAACTTAGAAAAGAGAAATATATAGAGAAGCAAGGTTTTATACTCAGAATCAAAGCCCAGTTTAGTGAAACTTGGTAGTGAGATCTTAATGACACAATGGAATGCTCTCAAATATGGACTGGGTTATACTGTCTTTAAAACACAAAGGAATTTCTGGTGCCAATACCATTTATCTGCATTTTAACATAAAACAAAAGTGATGGGGAATAAGAAAGTACTGTCAAACACTAGGTTCAAAATGGGAAGAGAACCTAAACCTGATAATGAAGGGCAGGCTTAAAATAATAAGATATAGAAAAGATAAAATAAAACCAATGTTTAATGGATAGTCCCATTTATACTCAGGGTATAAAGGGATAAAATTGCTTTGCAATGCTATGCTTTGTGGTCATAAGCTGTACTTCCTCAGGTTGTTAGCTGTTAACAAATTAAGCATAATTTTAAAATGTTAATTTCCAGAAATTAGACATATCAGAAAGTTCTTCAGAGTAGAGAAGTACAGTCATATAACAAAACTATGACCTACAGATACACAGTTTCATTTTGGGATGATGAAAAAGTTCTGGAGATGGATAATGGTAAAGGTTGCATGACAACGTGAATATACTTTATGCCACTGAATTGTACACTTAAAATGGCAAAATTTATGTTATTCATGTTTTACCAAAATATTGGAAAAAATTAAAAGATGAAAGCATCTTCTTTTCCCTGAACCATGCCATGAAGGACAACAGCTGCCCTGTAGAGTAAATTTGTTGCTCAGAGTAAACTGCATGAGCAAGTGATGGTTGTTTTGCTGTCATGACATAGGCAATCCTCACCTGAATAATACTTTATGAGAGTTATTTGAAATAAAAGATTTTGTGACAAATTATACATGGGATCTGATAAGAAAGTTCATGTATTTGGTTACATTTAAGTGTGGCTTCAACCTTTGGTGGAAAAATGAATCAACCTCAATTTTCTATTAATAAAAGTGTCTTACCTCTTCTTTTCCCTCTTACAAGGAATGTTTACATGATCTGAGAAAATAAAACTTTCAAAATAAGTTGGAATGGGGAGAAAAACTATGACCCGTAGCACTGGGATGTAGAAAAAGAAAAAAGATATTAAGTTGGTCAAACATATTCAAGTCCCATCTCTACCCATAACTATATAAACTTGAGCAAATTATTTAACCATTGTAAACCATTTTTTCATCTAAAAAGTACAGAGATACAATGTGTAACTACTAATTTCCAGGATTTGGTGCATAGTAAATGAAATAAAAATTTTAAAATGTTCAACACATGTAGGAACTCAATAAAGTATGCTTGTTTACTAATCGAGAAGCTTTGAACTTTTTACTTAATATTACATATAATCATTTTATTTCAGACCAGGGTTATTTTAGAGATCTAGTCCAGGGTTGTCAACCTCAGCACACTGTCACTTTGGTCAGATAACTTATTGCTGTGAGGAGCCTATCCTATGTATTGTAAGATATCTGGCAGGATCCCTGGCCTCTATCAATTAGGTATCAGTAGCATTCTCTAGTTGTGACAACCAAAAATAATTCCAGACAATGCCAAATGTCCCCTGTGAGGCAAAACTGCCTCCAGTTTAGAACCAATTTAGTCTAATGTCTTCATTTCATAAATGAAGCTAAGGCCCTGAGAGATTATAGGAAATGAAGGATTGAGGGAACTAAAATTTTAAAAAATGATTCTATATTCAGGTAGATTTGGTCCATAATGAAATTCCAGTAGTCTGGGGAGAGACAATAGTAATAGAAGAGGGATGTTCTTAAATCAGTAAAATATATAATTATGTGTACTAATAGCTCACATTCTATGGACTTGGGCATTACTAAAATCCCCTGTGTTAACATAAAAATATTTAATTCAGCTTGTACCAGAATATCTGCCTTTGATGATATAAAAAGCAAAGAGATTCACTTGACAAAATTTACTTTTTATCTACCTTTGTAGGATTGGGCCTACTGCAAATAGCTGCACTATTATGACAAAGTAAAATACCATTAACTTCTGCATCCAAAAATGCAATTGTGTGTGAAATCCAAATAATCATATTTGAAACTTTCTCCTAACTACTACTACTAGATAACACCAGGCAATTTAGGAATAAATAGAATTTTGTGACAAAACTATAACATTTATGGCTGGAGTCAGAACAGAATAGTGAATTTGGTCCATCCTTGCTTATGGAATTATAAACCATACAGGACCTCTGAGGGAACCAGAAAAATATCATATTTCTTCAGCTCTGGGCAAGAGAATTTTCTGTTTATTTCAATTAAATGTTCTTTGGTTACCTTGATAAGGAGTTTAAGCTATTCAAATTAGGTGACTCTACTTTAGATATAAATGGCTATATCTAATAAAATGAATCTTACTTGCATTTGTTAAATGACAATTAGATTTAGTTGTACAAAACACCAAATTTCCTCTTCAGGACAACCCAGCAGATGTTTATGGCAAGAACTTGCAATTAGTTGTTTTAATGCTTTGCTGAAGGCAAATTTCACAGTCCAACTGATCTTGATGCAAAAAATCTAGCATTTTAAAGAATCGTTTGTATATCCTATTTTAATAAAGTAACAAAAATTGGGCAAACCTTAGAAGGATTGGTTGTGATACTATAAACATAAATCTCATTCTCAGTCACAGATTTAAAGTCAGGCATTTAAAAATCTGAGAAATAATCCTCTCAATGGTGAAAAGAACACATTGCTATATTCTCCATGATTACACTTTTAGAGATAACCTCCTTCAAACCTTCTTGATTAAATAGGATTTTTTTTAAAAAAAAACTGACTTGACCTTTGCGATCTTTTAATACCATCATAATCTTAGGAAAGAATAAGCAGAGCACAGCAGTAAGTTATAGGAGACTGGGAACTGGGTTAACCTACACAAACCATTTTAACTGTCTTTTTCCCCTAAAGGTCACACCCATTTATGTTTTCTTGAATAGTCGTGTTAGAAATGCAGATATGTAACTATCAGCATGATGAATACTCAGAACTATAATGTTATCTAGTATCCTTAGTTTTCCAGATTATAAGATTAGTACCTGACTTATGAGTTTGACAAGTTTTAGCTATTTTACACATATTATCACAATCAAACAAACAATGAAGGGTTTCCCATGGCATATTAACAATTACAAATTACAAAAGAATTAACAAAATAAATGGGAATACTAGTTATATGTTTAATATTTACATCATCTTTACTTAAACTAAGTCCTTGACCTTCATAATCACAAGCACTTAGTGGTTAGCATGCTCTGGGGTCGTGCTTGTGAAGTCAGAAACTGAATCTATTAATTTACTTGATCCCTTGACAGCTATTTTGCATCAGAAAGCCAACAAATACATGCCATTCATTCCAACAGGTTAGCAAATGTGAATGGATCTGCAAAACTGGTTTCATATGCAACACAATCAAAGTTCTTACCCTAACAGGTATGTAATGAATATAGTAGGGGGAATGCTTAAGTTACTCTTTGTAACAAGCTTAGTCACTATTTTCAGACATTGATCTCTTATAAAGACAAAGGGTCCCAAACTAACAAATGGTCACTAATCTCTCTCCAGACATCCTCAACCTACCAAAGGCAGAGAAGTAAAAATTAATTCTAACGGTTTACTAATTATTCCTCCCAGACGCCAACATTAGATTTACAATATAATGTACTTTAGTGTGTCTGTAGTATATAAGATACTGTGGCAGCCGGGCATGGTGGCTCACGCCTGTAATCCTAATACTCTGGGAGGCCGAGGCGGGAGGATTGTTTGAGCTCAGGAGTTCGAGACCAGCCTGAGCAAGAGCGAGACCCCGTCTCTACTAAAACTAGAAAGAAATTGGCTGGACAACTAAAAATACATAGAAAAAATTAGCTGGGCATGGTGGCGCATGCCTGTAGTCTCAGCTACTTGGGAGGCTGAGGCAGGAGGATCGCTTGAGCCCAAGAGTTTGAGGTTGCTGTGAGCTAGGCTGACGCCACGGCACTCAAGCCCGGCAACAGAGTGAGACTCTGTCTCAAAAAAAAAAAAAAAAAAGATACTGTGGCTTACAGAGTACAGATTTATAATAAACAATAGAATGATCCTGATAGTTCAGCAGTCTGACTAGTTATATTTAAAACTGCATTTTCCCCACATATTTATTTTATAGTTTTACTATCAAGCACTCCTATTGAGCTCTTTAGTATAGCTGTGCCCAATTTGTCTGTATATCCTCAGCACTAAGCATAGTGCCTGGCACACACATATACAGGTGTTCAAGAAATGATTTCTGAATAAATGAAGGAAAGGTTATTAACTAAATTTTCTTTTGGTGGACTTACTATCATTTGACTTGAAACTTTCCTGAATAATATGCAAACAAAGGAAAGCCTTGTCAGGTAATTGCTATTCAATGGATTAATAACTAAATAAAAAACCCGAAGGTCCTCCAATGTAAAAGATCTATTTGATAATTTTTTTCTTAAAAGGAAGGGGCAAATAAGCAAGGATTTTTGTTTATTTTTGTTTTTACTATGAGTATGTTAGAACATCATTACTGGGCAAAAATTCACCTTTTCAGCCTTTAAACATTTTTGAAAAACTTCACTTAATGAAATATGAAGTGTCGAAATCTCATGATTCCCCTTACAATGAATTCTGAGTATATATGTGTGTTTTCATGTGGCATTTCTTCTATCCACTTGGCATTTCTCTTGTTTGTTTTGTTTTTAAGTTTATTGCTCAATATCCCATTTGTAATCTTTGAAAGCATCTAATATTCCCCGCTTGGCAATTTCTAATCTCCACTGACATTTGCTTATTACCAACCCCATCATCCTCAAGAGTGTTAACTACAATTGAAAATGGATCAGTGAATGCTTTTTCAAACCACTTTTAATAATCCTATCAGGAGCGGACTTGTGATAACTGAATTTTGACAATTCTTTGACATCTTTTAGAGCAATCTGCTAACTAAGACTTAGAAAAAGCAAGCAAGCAAAAGATACTGGCACACTACCAAACAGCATATTTCTCTTCTCCTTATTCACTATCATAACTGGCAATCATGCATGGCCTTTATAAATATCTGAACAGAAATATTTTGAGGCCTAACAGTGTTTTGGGCAGTGTAACATATCAAATAATTCCCATTTGTTAAGTGAAAAAGGTAAGAGAATTTTAGTTTGGACCGAATGGTTAATGAAGGATATTTAGCTAAAATGAAATGATAATTTTTAGGTAACAATTATATTTGGTTTTTCATATCCTAGTAAATTGTCTCAACACTAACAACACAGATTCATTACTCACTGGGTGTCCGGTGATAAAAATCAGTCAAGGTTTCTTATGACTTATGAATTACTGTTGAGTGCACAGCCATGGAAATACCACTGAAAGAGTATCAATCCAGAACTGCAAAATCATGGCTCATACTTTCAGATCTGAAATCAACCTTCAAGTTTGGCTAGTTCAATTCCCCTATTTCAGAAATATCAAAACCAAAATCCAGGAAGCTTGGGACCTGTTCAGGGCCACAAAGTCTAGTAGATTAATTAGCAACATAACCAATGTTCTTTGCACCAGACTCCTACGCCAGGAGTTCTCCTCATTTTACTGCTTAGCAATACTATAGATATTGCTGCTATTTTATGAATCTCTTAAAGCATTTAATATCTGCATATATTCAAAGATACTGCAACCAAAACAGTTACAGAGCCAGGCAAAAGGCCATTTTTTTCCATGATACTAATTCTAAATCTTATTGTGAACAGGCCATGAGAACCAAACTGAATTGTGATTTTGATGCCTGTAAAACTGCTCTCACCTACTTGCTGGTTGTGGACAGAAAGTTTTGTATCAAAACTCAAAGATCCAGGAGATTTCATGTTTTCATCCCAGAACAATGGTACAAATCCAGGCTCACTGAAGACACTAAGGAAAGTCTTTTAAAGGCTGACTTTAGTAAGAGTTGATAAATAAAACGTCATGATATTACAGTGTATCTCTAACTTCCATATTTAGTAAATGGCATTTATGTAATGTGCCTATTACAAGTATTGAAAGGATTTTTTTTTCTTCTTTGCCATTCCTCCAAATTGAAAGGTGTGAAAGGTTATGGAACAGCACACAGGGTATATCACTTAAGAATGTTTAGAGGAAATTATTTTTATGAGGTAATTTAATGGGGTGTCCTAACAAATAGGAACTTAACATTATTTTACTCTATTTTGGCATCCACAATCTTTCACTTTGGAGGCAAGTTAGCAACATAAGGTAATACAGCAAATACTGGAAATTAATTACAAAATTTACTATGGCAAAATGCTTTACTGAGATCTTCTGCAGTGGACTGTGACTCCACATCTGAGAACATTCCCAAAATTGCTTTAAAGTACATTTCAATGGCAAATTTTACAGTCCGCTATTAGTAGGCTGTTTACAAGTATATAGTACTTTGTGTGAACTAAAGACCGCTTATATTGACATAACCAAGAAATATCTTTTTATGTTAGGAGTAATATGTGTTGGTGGGTACAACAGCACTTACTAAAAGCCAAACCACCTTAAAGATGGGCCCGTGAACCTTTCTTTACTAGGTCACAACCTCAAATAGCCAACGAAAACTCTCCGAAGTGATTCCCGAAATCTGTGCTTCTGCCATACGCTCTTCCTCTCTTCCTCTGCCACTAGAGCCCCCTGCGCCAGACCCTATGATCCTAAAACCCAACGGATCCTACTCTAAAGCTCAAGTATACACTCTAATCTCCCCAAATTCCTAACCCCATCTCTCCGTAAATACTCTAGTGCGAGTTTCTACACTGCAGGACGTTGTATTTCACCAAAGGGGGGTTTACTCCCTCGTATTTCTTTGGCCTTTCCTCTTTTATCTCTGCCCCTCTCTCCTATCCGACCCCCTTCCCTTTCCCTAACTCTAGGTCCACATCACTTCTACCTTGCATCCTCTTTCTTCCCAAATCGCGCCTCAGCTTCCTACAGCACACTAAGACGGCTTGGCTGAGAGAGAAATTATGTGGTATTTTTTTTTTTCCCTTCAAACTCCTGCCTTGTGAGTACCTTTAGTTCCTTTGCCTGGGGGCCCCCATCCTTTGCGGGGGGAGAGGTAGGGAAGCCCCCCTTTGCTTCAGTCCATCTTTCACACTCGGGGCTAATACGGGGGGG